GACGCAAAGTCCGACTTTAAATAGTATACAGAGACCATTTCTCTTAATATCACTCGTGCCTCCGCACATCACCAATAACGCCCTCGCAGTGCAGCTGAGTCTTGCTTTACCTATTGCGGTTGAAAAGGACGCGCTTATCAGTGATAGACAACTTGGTGTTCAGTCAGTTTGGAGATCACTCTTTCTCCCCCATGATTATGAAGCAGCAATAAACAGAGAAATCAACACCCCTCCCTCTATGGTACGGGAGTTAAAGTTAATCTCAAACCGAGTCATCAAGTTTTCTCTGCTGATCTGGTCTTTTATATTGAGGCTCTAAATTGAAGATCAGTTGGCTGTGCATATATAGCCATACTGCAAGATCAGACAACTCTTCACCAGTGGAAATGCCATCTGTCTTCTTTTAACAGCGTCTTCCAGAGTGAGGCTATTGCTATTCGACAAGCAATACAACAATCATAATCATCGATATTCACATTCCTATGTTCTTACCGATAATCTCTCCACATTGTATGCCATTTTAAATCCTCTGCATTCATCCCCCATTATTGTGGACATTCAAACAGCTTGTCTCGACATAAAAATCTACACATTTGTTTAGAATGGACAAAGCTCATGTGGGGAACTACGTAATGAAACTGTCGATAGCTTGCTAAAGAAGCAGACAGAATCACGAGATAACACAGACCTTGACGGTTTCACGCCCAGTATCTAATCTAAAGCGTCACTTACTTCTCACGCCATCTCCTTTGGCAAAATGCATGGAGTTCGGAGAAACTGGTCGCCGAGCATTTGCCCATGTCCCTAAAGTAGATTTAGACCGATTAATCATGCCACCACACTGATCTCCTACATTACGGGCCACGGCTTTTCCTTATATTTCGAGAGACATGGACTCTCTTCCTCACACTCTGTAGTTTGGACACTGGGCAATCCAGAACACTATCTAATCGATTGTCCACTTACTACTGAATTCCATATTCCTTTTCCACCAACGGATAGGACTGCCTTTAGTCGTTTTTGATTAAGCAACGGCATCAAGTCAAAAGATAGTACGTTTATTGACAAACTGATGAATCTGGGACTTGATCTTTGTGCTTTATATCGACATATGATTCAACTTCTCAACTGCTTGTATATATTATAACCCATCTACTTTTATGCTCTGAAGTGTTTGTAACCATTGTAATCTATTGTAATCCTCTGTTATAAGTCGCTGTGTATAGCACAGTCAAATATTTGTATATTCTCTCTCAGCATCTTTTTCTAAGTGCAACCAGGTAATATTGTCTATAACAGCTGTCCTTGTACCTATGGTACATTAATACCGGTGCTGTTTAGTATCTGTATATCTTGCATTTGCCTATTTACCGATGAATAATAATGTCATCTTTGCATATGCACATTATTATCAAGTGCTTTAAATATCTGTATATATTGAATTTGGCATATTTATCTGTTGCATAGTATTGTCCTATAGTCTCTTTGTTGTCCATAGCAGCTATCAATGTACTTATGGACATTTTTTACCAGGTGCTGTTAATATCTGAATTATTAATCTGCATATTTACCTATGAATAATAATGTTATTGTCTTTATTTTTTCTTTTGCCCATGTATTATCAAACATATAACTGTCTGTATTCCCTCATAATGCACTATGATAATATCTACATTGAACGTGTTTTGCGTTTTTCACTGTAAATAGTATATAATATCTTGGCATATTTAGTTGGGCGTATTAATGAAAAAAAAAAAAAAAAAAAAAAAAAAAAAAAAAAAAAAAAAAAGAAAAAAAAAAAAAAAAAAAAAAAAAAAACATTGTTTGCCAGTTGCTGTTAAACATCGGTATACCATATACTTGCATATTTGGCTATACATTATACTGTTACTGTCTTCTTTTCATCAATTGCCCATGTAATATCATACATTTAATTCTCTGTGTAATAATAACACTGAATGTATTGGGGTCGCTAGAGATTTCATTGTATAATATATCCAACCATTATCCATTGTTTTAATATCCATTGTATTTATACCAACATTGAATGTATTTGTGTTTTTTTCACGGTATAATATATGTTCATAATTTGTGGCATACTTAAGTCTATATTTCATCCTTTGCAAATGTATAGTAACACATTTAACTGTCTGCATCAATTTATTTGCTGCATAGGATCACAAGTGTCATGATAATTTTAAATGTATATTTTGTGTTCCAACACTGAATGTATTTTATATTTCTATTGTATAGTATTGTATAGTATCTACTGTATCGTATCGTATTATGGTATTTTTTTTTTGTATTGTATAGTATCTTATATCAATTGGCTTTATACAGGTTAAATATGTTAATTTTTATTCATTATAATCGTTTAATTAGCTTTGTAGTGTATTTATGTAGTATTGTATAGTATTGTATGGTATCTTATATAAGTTATCTTTTATGCAGGTAATGCATCAATTTATTGCTGCATTAGGATCACTGGTATCATGACAATTTTAAATTTTTTTGTGTCACCAACACTGAATGTATTTTTGTATTTTCATTGTATAGTATTTGTATAGCATCTACTGTATCGTATTATATTGTGGTATTGTATCTACTGTATCGTATTGTATTGTGTATTGTATAGTATTGTATAGTATCTTATATCAGTTGGCTTTTAGTACGGTTAAATATGTTAATTTTTTTTTGTATTGTATTGGTATTGTAATATTGTATAGTATTGTATAGTATCTTATTCGTTAACTTTTATGCAGGCTAAATATGTTATTTTTATTCCTCATAATCGTATAATTAGCCTTATTGCATGTTTTTCCCACAATACCACGTGATCAAGTTATTGTCCGCTATTGCATTCTGTCATTGTATTCTTTTATTTTTATTTCTTTTGGTATATCCTCTCTGTATTGCTGTAATCATTTACATTCATTATTTCACTATTTCTCTATTTTTATGTTATATTGTCTTAAGTCTAATTCTACTGTCTATATTTTATTCATTGTATATTATTGGGCCCCACATCAGACTGTACTTTAGCTTATGTATATTCTATATTTGTGTGTATTACACCTTTGTAAAATTTTTGCTTATTGTCCAAACTCGCCCTTTTGGCCCTGCATGCTTTTGTTATTTTATTTAATAAATGTGGGGCCTGGGCGGTTTGGATTCTTCGGGGCATTTGGCTGTGGATGCCCCTGTGATTGGCTCTGGGTTGGCGCCCGGCGGGTTTGTGTTCCTCTTAGCTTAGATTGGTGCGGGTGTATCCGATAACCTGTGGTAAGGGACATGCCCACTCTCCGTGCTACGCTTATCGCTATCTATGAGCCGCCGCCTTCACACCATCTAGGCGAGTTGCGCCCCAGGATAGAGCTAGCAGCAACACAAGCAGAGCTCGAAGAACTTACTGAAAAAGTCGTCACGGTCATACAAGAAGCCTGCGAAGCAATTCTGCCGGTCAGAACCACCAAAAAGCCGCAAAGTCTGAGCTGGTGGACAAGCGACCTTAAAGTACAGCAAAAAAAGTGCCGTGCACTGCGACGCCGGCTTAAGCGAGATCGCCAAAGGAACGACACCGCTGACTCAACTCTCTTGATAGCTTTCCAGCGAGAAAGAGCCCATTATAAAAGGATGGTCCTACAGGCAAAACTCACCTCCTGGAGGGCTTTCTGCACAGAGAACACAGCTCCCTTTGGCATACATCACAAGCTGGCGACCGGGAAGATGTATGCACCTACTAAGTTTCATCTCCTCCATGCAATGACAGAAGATGAAAGCCCCACGGTCAGCACACTGAATGCGATACTAGATGCAGTGTTCCCGCAGGATGATATGACAGGAGATACAGCTGAGCAACAACAACAAAGGACTACGGCAACAGATACTTCCATCCCAGATGACAAAGATATCACAGCACAGGAATTGATACAAATACTACGCTGCCTCCCCAAGAAAAAAGCTCCGGGGCCGGACGGAGTAAATTATAACATCGTCAAGGCCGTCTTAAGTGCAAACATTGAATTCTTCACTTCACTCCTGAGCAGGCTTTATAACACGGGTACATTCCCGCGGGTGTTTCAAAGTAGGGCAAGCGGTGTTCTTTCTAAAGAAAAATAGAGACCCCTCCAATCCAGACTCGTACAGACCCATCTGCCTCTTGTCTGCGTTGGGGAAGGTGTACGAAAAGATCATTATGAATCGGCTGAGGCATCACTTGCACCTCACTAATTACTTAAGCCCTAACCAGTATGGCTTCAGAACCGGTACATCAACGGTTCACTTGCACCTCACTAATTACTTAAGCCCTAATCAGTATGGCTTCAGAACCGGTACATCAACGGTTCACGCACTGGCAGAAATCAAAAACGAAATTTATAAAAATCAAGGGAACGGTCACCACACGGCGTTTATCAGCCGCGATCTAAAATGCGCCTTCGACACGCTGTGGTGGCCAGCCATACTCAATGCGCTGGCAGAAGCCAAATGCCCATCGAACATGTACAGAACAATCCAGCACTACCTGTCAGACCGAAGCGTCATAGTCGTCCACAACGGAGGTATACTCCAGAGGAGGCAATCCCGCGGATGCCCACAAGGCTCATGCGCGGGCCCCCAACTCTGGAACTTAACTTTCAACAGTATTCTTCTCTGCACAGTGGCCGGAGCATACAAGGGTTATAGCTTACGCGGACGACGCGGCCTTTATAGTAAAAGGTCGAACGAGAGAGGAACTACAAGCGAACAGCAATCAGACCTGCTCCCTGTTCAGCGAAAGATGCCAGAAGATAAAATTAATAATAGCGGAAAGCAAGTCACAAATTCTGCTTTTCCCCAAAAAAGGAGGAACGCTGGTCAGACAGCCTCGCATTACCATCAATGGCCAGCGGATAAAAATAGTTAAGCAATTAAAATATCTGGGTCTACTGTTTGATAATAAATTGAACTGGATCCCACATGTAATTGATCTCAAAAAACGTACCGCGACCATTGCTAAGAACATGCGGTTAATGCAGGGTCACAGTTGGGGCCTCAATCCGCATATTCATAAGATCATCTATCAGACAGTTGCAGAAAAGATTGTAACGTATGCGGCGGCTGTATGGGCCCAGCCGATGCAAAGCCGTAAAGCCGTAAAGTGCGGCATCTTTCAAGTATACAAAGGCAATTTATGTTAAACATCACGAGGGCCTACCGCACGACAGCTACTAGCGCACTGAACATTTTAGCAGGTCTCGTTCCACTTCACATCAGCGCCGAAAGGGAGGCAGTCCTGCAACAAGTTAAGCAACTGCGGCAACCAGCCACTTTATATGAAGAAACTTACTGGCCCAGAGACTATGAAATTCCAGCAATCCACTTGAGTTCCACCCAGCACAGCAGAGCGTAGGAGTATGAATCAACCTCAAGGGGCGATCTGAAGATATGAACAGGCCCAATACCCGTATTTTTACTGATGGGTCAAAAATGAATGACAACGACGGATGTGCGTACGTAATGTTTCAATACGCACTTGGTGCGCTATATCACGGGCCATGAGCCTTTCCCGGAGTACTTTGCCACGCATGGCGACAGACACAGATCAGTGCAGTTGTGGCTACCTGGGTACTCCGGGGCATTATGTCATAACCTGCCCACTTACCAGCGAACTGCACATTATTCCAACTGTCAATACGCAGGCCTTCTGTAAATTCATGATTAAGCAGAAGCACCTGTCGACAGATCATTAAAATCATGAATTCACTTGCCAGATACGGCACTGACCTTTGCGTAGTCGAATAATTAGTGCAAGGTCTGCATGGCTTTTGAGAAATGTCTCCTCAGATAACAAAATATAGCGCTAAAAGAGCAAACTCTACCAACAGTAAGTCAAACATGCCAAGTATACCACGTATGTGTACATGTACTGTGTATCCGAAGCGTACCGCAACATCTCAGCAGTACTAATCAAAATTCAAGCAATGCAAATAACTTAAAGCAACCATTATATAAAATAGTTCATGCACATCAGCAAGTATGCGCGAACATCTCCACTAATTTAACAGTGAATATTCAATATGGATGACGTGTCAGACAAAGAAAGTACACTGCAGCCAGCTAGCTTACACTTGCTTCAGGCTCTGTCTAGACCTGAATTGCAAGTGTAATGCTACCCAATGCCCATCCCCATAAGTGGCTGCACAACCTAAGCTGCTTTAAATACGTGTATTTAAATGTAAATATTGCATCGGATGTACTGAACAGTCAAAGGACAATATCTTAGAATATGTATGCAAAAGCATATGTACAGTACAATCCTGCGAATACCGCAGTGACATAGCAAGATGCACCTATGAACATTAGAAATGTATACTTACATGTCCCGGCATGTCAGACATCCTAAGCTTATTTACATAACTGCCAGAGAAATTATATTGCTCAATATGTATCAAAATCTAATGTCACATTGGACATAATAAAAACACTGCTGAATCCGAACGCTGCACAAACTGTAAATGTAAATACCACGTAACGCAAGTGTAACGTCTTCTGAATAGTAATGTAAAGTCATAGTATGTGTATGAATTACGTACATAAATGATACATTCAGGTTCATGTTTTTTACCTCTTCGGAACATACATGACCTGACTAGAACAGAGAGCTTCTAAAGCTATGTTCACTAATTGTAGTAAGTAGACAGATACAGACGAAGGGTATACAAAACCCTTTATTTTTCTTTATATACAATGACTTCCGTACTTCGGAATACAATGACCCTCCACTCGGGGTCTAACGTAAAAGATATCAAAATAAAACTAAACTCTAATTTAACTTTAGAATACACGTGTAAGATTGGCCTTATAATAACAGGAAGCGTATGTAGCACAGAGACTGTGAACACTACAATACGTTTAATTTATCAAGAGGATTAAAACCTCTGGCCTGGAAGGCAAATAGCAACTGCGTAACTTCTAAGGTAAGCGGCCTGCTTCGAACTCACTGCTTCCTCTCTCTTTCGCTTGGCAAAAAGGTCACACTTAAATACTTGGCGTTCGCCAGACAAACTTCGCATAAAATCCTTAACGCTTATAATTCTGGCCGGAAGTAGAAAATAAGAAGTGATAGTAAAGATTTAAAATAAAATAAACGTTAGTAAAACTTAAGATCCTTACATACTTCCCGCCAGAGTTAATTAGTTTGAAACTGAGGTCTAAAACTACCTTGTTGAAAACTTTTAGCTCTAAAATCTAACGCGAGGCCAACCTTTTACAATCATAACTTCGTTAGAAACTAGAAAATTTAAAAGAAAGAAATTTGTTACAATAGCAGCTCCCAGGATGTACAACAATCTTTTTTTTTCATCTGTACTGCATCTAAACAGGAGCTTTATTCAATTCTGGTTCCTTCCAGAGATCTGGAAGGAAAACTAGTTTAATGAAATGTTACACAATGATATTGCAAATAACATATAGAATATACTTCTCTTAACATTCTTATTTCATTCATGACTATTTTAATTATCTCTCCCCGTGCTCTCTGACATGTGTTGTAAAAGAACACCAAACACGAATGTGTTTCTGTCTACGTGTGCCACACTTCCTCCTACAATCAAAACACTAACGTGTTAAAATTCAACATAATGAGACATCTTAACACACCCTACTTTCAACTCTAAACCCTGAGGTACTATTCTAAAAGTGGCTAACTCTAAAGTGTAGCGTCAGAGAGCCTAACTACATCATTCAACCTTTACCACATATTTGCCATGATTTAATCTTTACAGTCACACGAATAACAAATTTTTAACATTACTTTCACTTTTACCATATCACGGTATTTCTTAAACATTTCAAAATAACAGTTCACATGTATACAAGTAGTACATTGTTAACTTCAATTCTTTTCAAAGCAAGTGCCAATTCTTTCTACATTGAAATAATACTACATTTCAAAAAGTCTTTCAGACTAAAACTTCTTTCTTGCTAGAATGTTTTAAATAAAATTTATACAATAACTTTTTTTTTTTACAATATTTAAGTTTTACACAACGCTATTATACATCAACTTTAGTTTTACGCACGAGTAATTTAAAAACATAATAAGAAAATCGGTCACAACTCATTTCTCGCCCTTTTGGCGATAAAGGTAGACCTCGCATGAGGTAAAACTTCTTGAAATCTGCCACTTGCAGTAAGAATGAAAGATTAACTTAAGTTTGTAAAGTAACATAAAATTTTACTTATCTTTGTAATATTCAGACATCCTTTTCTGGGCCCAGTCTTTAAAGGTATAGCTGATAGTAGCTTGGTTGATCCTCCTTCTTGTACGGGGCTCGCCCTTCAGTGCTTTCCTCTGGAAGCTTTCGTTTTTCACCAGTACGGCCACCCTTGAACACCTTCCTTTTGTCCTCTGCTTGTGGTCTTGGCCGTTTGAAGGCAGCTGGTCTTGGTGGAACCGGGAAACTTCTGTCGTGATCCTGCTTGGACCTCGTTGTTGGCCGTTCAAATTTTTCTTGTACTTTTTCCTCCTTTTTCCCTCCGCCGCTGATGGCCCTTCCGCAGTTCGGCGACTTTTGCTGCGGAGAGTTCTGTCGGATGAGTCGATCTTCCGTTTTACAAGCCGGGTTATAGTTGCCGTCCTTTCTCCTGGTCCTTTCACAATACGTCGTCCTTCTCCCTTCTTCATTCTGGGGGTGTTCGTGAACTCTGTTTTCTGGACGGTGGAACGGCTTCTTTTTCTTTTACCTTCAATTTTTCCGCGGGGCAATTTTCTTTTCACTTGCTTCTGTCTCTCATTGGCTTGCCCTTGTACTTGTCGTTTTTTCCCACCTCTGGAACTTGTACCTGCGGTGTCTGCCGTGCCGGATCCTGCAAAGATCTGAAAAGATTTGCATTTTATTACGATCGAAGTAGGGCTTAATTTGATCAATATTTGCGGAACAGGATTTCACCATTTCGCTTGCCTTTAACACTACAACAGCGTGAGTTATTTTTTCTATAACATATGGTCCTTCAAATCGTGGAAAAAAATTTGGCAGTTTTATCTTCTGGTGCTGAAGAAAGTGAATGCTTAATTTTTAGTACTTCATTCCCTACTTTATAAGTTACTCCCCGTCGTTTCAAGTCATAATACAATTTTGTTTTCTTTGTGCTACTTCCGTATTCTTTTTTGCTTCTTTTAATTAGTTTTTCTATATCACCCATTTTAAATTCTGGGGCTCTTTGTTGCACATAAAATAGTTTATCTAACGGTGTTATAATCTTTCTGCCTAGAAATAACTCAGCAGGAGTTTTGCCCGTTGTATCATGTTTTGGCGGTCCTAAGGGCGAAAGCAAATTCATTGACATAGTTATCCCAGCTTTTATGAAAATTTTTAACATAACTACGGATAATTTTCACTATATTTCTGTTGACCCGTTCCGCTATATTTGATTGCGGCCGATACGGGACCATTTTTAAATGACGTATGCCCAGTTTTTGGCACATGTCTTCAAATATATTACTTACAAATTGAGGACCATTATCCGATATAAACTTTTAGGGGCGCCCCGTATTTTAAAATATATTTATTTAAAATAGAATCGGTAACTAATTTCGCGGAGGCTCGTTTTAAAGGAACAATTTCGGTCCATTTACTAAAATGATCAACATAACAAGGAGATAGCGACTTTTATTTAACTGACTTTTTGGGAAAGGGCCCAATAAATCGATGCCGATTATTTCATTTGGAAATTCGGATTTAATACTATTTAGAAACCCGGCCGGGGGCGGAAATTAATATAATTAACGGCTTGACATGTTGGGCAGGACTGGACATACGCCCTTGTTAACTTTTGCAGTTCAGGAAAGTAGACTGCCTGCCTCGCGTACGCGTTGGATAGTTTTTTTCGAATACCAGCATGAGAAGCTAAAGGGCTGTCATGGAGCTCTTGCAGGATATTTAATCTAAGACTAGCTGGGATAACAGGTCGAAATTCGTTGTTGGAATTCGTAGTTTTTGTATAGAATAATAGACCATCTATTAGTTCGTAATGGGCCCGCCCTATTTCTTATCGCCACAATATCTTGGTGGCTAAAATTTTCAGGATCCTTCAAATACTCATAAATACTTCCAAACTCAGGATCCTTACCCAGTTCGGTTATT